ATTAATTTTCCTGATGAAGCCAGCCCTTGGTAATCCTGTCTGTAGTTGTTACAGGGCTGAGTAAGCCTCACCACTATCTGTCTTGAGTTTATTGTCTTAAAATGCATGATTTTAACAAGATAGTTATAATGGCTGTTGGTAAATGGTTTGGGTTGTCTTTGATCTACTTTACCTATTAAATTTAATTTTCTAAATAGCCAGAATGCATTTAATTAGACCTTAAACCAGGCTCACACCGACTCCCCACCCACCCCCAGCTGGAGGGGTCGCTCGCATACCCGTAATTCAAATGGGGGCCCCGCCAATCTGAATAGCCTAGGGCCCAGAGGCCTTCTAATCTGACCCTGAGTAATGACAACATAAACATAGTATCTGAGTAAGACAGAGACGTACTGACCAGGGTGGCAGGAGGACACCATCTATCACAAACATGACAACATAACATAGTACTGAGTAAGACAGAGACGTACAGACCAGTGTGCTGAAGAACACCACCTATTAACCGTAACATGACAACATAAACATAGTATGGTGAGTAAGACAGAGACGTACTGACCATTGTGCAAGAGACAACCACCTATCACAGTACATGACAACATAAACATGTAATCAGAGCCGACAGAGACGTACAGACCCCAGTGTTACAACAGACAACCAGCTTAATTCTAGTATTAATTTGATACAGCAACAACCATTGAGTAAGAGGACGTGGCGCTGCTCATTGGGAATATCAAAAAGGCGAACATACATAACGGGAGAAGTAAATTACTATCTGCATAGAGCTGGTTCGTGGTACGTTAAGTGGAGATACGATGAACGTCCTTCCTCCCTAAACAATCATCAGGATACATATGGTATTCCCAACGATAATTGTATGGCGTCGCTTCCATAATGGTTTAACAGAATCTTTGAGAAATTTCTACGATCGGTATCTAACACAAGAATTGTCGAGTATTACCAGGAACAACGCAGAATGTGAATTCAACAAATCAACGATGGATGTTGTGTACTTACGTCTCTAAAACTTCACATGGGTGAAGGTACGGAATGTACCCTCGAGGCTACGGCATATGGCCTTCAGGAGATTTTTCTCCGCGTTATGGGACAGTGCATTCTGCAATCAATGGGGGTGTGGAGGTATGGTCTAATGAAGGAATGCCGAAGGTTCTTTAACAAACCCAAAAAATGTCTTTAACAATGCTATACCTATCCTATGTTACGATGTTCGGTTGTAGAACACAGGTTATGTTACTATGGCTGGGCAAACGGAAAACATGACGTCTTTTTTGGGGGTTTTTTGTAGGCATTATGAGCACATGGCAGCCCAGTGGTCCTAGGAGGCGGGCTTCTCGAATTCTGGACACCCAACTGTGATTGACAACAGTCGTGTGATTTGGTGCCTGGCTCTGATGCCTCGGGAGGGCCGAGGCCTGACCTCTGGAGCGAAGAAGTCGACCGGGAAGTGGCGGCGGCGGAGACGTGTGTCACTCTCCCAGGGACGTTGGGGGAGTCGAAGGTGACGTCTGAGGAGACTTTCGTCCAGGAAGCTTCAACAGGATGGTTATTATTTGCAATGTGTGATCAACGGATTTTTTGGATGAGGAGTAACCCTGTGCAAAAGGTGTCCTCAGTTCATGTGAAGCTGGAGCGTTGGAGGGACAACAAATTGTGGAGGAAGACTTGAGTAAGATTGGGCTGGAGCGTGTGGTGGCCGTGGAGGTACACCAGGAGGATTCGTCTGAGGGTGATATGTGTGTAAGTGGGAGCCGATGCCACATAGTGGTAGAGGTGTGCCTGAGTTGCAAAGTGGGAAAGGGAGGGGGGAGGTGACTGCACCGGAAAACTCGAGTGGCAAAGGAATCACGTAATATGAAAAGTGCAGTGGGTCAATCCAGAGGCATAGGGAAAAGGCCGCCCCTTCTGGTAATTTTCAGATGTGTCACGCTAATGTTAAGGTCTTAGACTGAGGTCAAAGAAATTTTGGATGGAGTGGTTTTTAAGGCGTTAGATGTTGACATATCTTTTTGCAAGAGCATAATCACAGGGCTGGTTGTGTGTTGCGGTGATAGGATATCGGATGTATGTAACCAGTGGTTTTTGCAATTGAAAGGTGGGGTAGCAGTGGCGTGTCATCGTTTTGGGAGAGTGGGGGTGGGAGGGTCGTGAGGGTGGATGTAGTCTGGGTGAGAGTCGAGCTAGTTTCGTAGGAGTTTACCAATGCCAGCAACAGCAATAACAGGGTAAAAGTAGATTTTTGTCAGAGAGGTATTGCTGTAATCACTTGAGAGGTTTGCCTGCTATAACCAGTAATAGGAGGTGATTTGGAATTGTGTGATTAGGGAGTGGTGATGTCGAACCTAGAGGGGCGGGTTGTGTGCGGAGATGTGCTGAGGATGTATTCGAGATACTGGGCGTTTGTTGATGTGGTGGGAGGGGAGATACCTAGTGAGCATATACGTCGTTCCTAGGGATATGAAGCGCGAATTGGACAGAATATATATTAAGCAGGGTATAGATGTTGAGAGGGGTGCAAACCTTTCGATGTGGGTTTTCGGATCACAGGGCGGAAAAAGCAGATTTGATGTGGGATGGAGTGGTGCGTATTTATACTGGGTACTGGAAATTAAATTAAGGCTTCTTAAGGAGGAGGGGGAGGGACCTTTTTTCAGTGATGTGGTTGCCTTTTAGGGAGGGCTAGGGGCAGGGAATAGATCTGTTAGGTTGGTGGGGAAATGGCAGGCAAAACCTGAATAGCGAATTATTATTAAAATGTTAGTGGGAGAGAAAGCGAGGTGGCGTTTGGTTGCAAAATTACTGGAGGGGACAGTTTGCTAGATATGTTATGTTGGGGGAGATGGTAGTGAGGGTGATATGGACAGTCTGCGGAGTAGAATCACTGCTTACACAATATTTGTATTTGATGCAATTAGGGTTAAGGGCAGGGTTAGAGGATGTTTTAGTGGGTGATAAGCCTCTGGTTTTTGTTTTACGTAAATTTAAGGACCGATAGAGTGATTAACCATTCTACAATTGCAGACAAAGCCTGGGGTGGGAGGGGTATCCAGGGGTCGAGTCCTATCCAATACGGAAAGTATGAGTCAGTTGCCGAAAGTTTGTTTAGGGAAAAATGGAGTGAGGAGAGGGGTGTTCCTGGGAGGGTATTTTTTGAAGGGGGGTTTCCAATAGCGTTTTTAACTGAAGCAGGATAGAGGTGGGGTTGGAGGTTGGTATAAATGAGGTTGAGGTAAGAGGCATTTTTCGGATGAGTACCGGAAAACACCAGGGAAGACGTTATAACCAAATATTTTTTCAATAGAGCAACAAATGGGGGTGTATTGGGCAGTGCTTTGGTTTAGGCTAATGGGACCATATGTTAACTAGTGGGAAGTTGTCACATTCGCAAATTACGGGTGTCATAGTTTTGGTGCCAAAAAGAAGAGGGGGGGTAAAGCTGAGTGCTTTTTTATACACGGGCAATATCTTTGATGAGCAGCAGATTACAAGGGTTTTTTGCAAAATTTTCGGTAATAGACAGAAGAAGGTCATGGGGTCGTGATACAAGGGGGACAGTTTGGTATCCCGGGAGGAGTATGCGGGTAGGTCATGGACGTATTCGGGATTTTTCCTTGAGGGTAAATAAGGGAGGTACCTTGGTCTGATTGGGAGAAAGCTTAAGCTATGTGGATAGGAATTTTTGATTGAGAGAATGGTGAAATGGGTTTGGTGGGGGGGTGTTGATGGGTGAGGACTTAGTATGAGAAGCTTCAATGAGAGTACAGGTAAATGGTAGGATTGGGTAGTTTCGTAAGTCATGGGGAGGGGTTTAAGGCAGGGGTGTCCCACCTCCCAAATACCTCTTTGCAAGTATGCAGAAAACCTTTCAATGTTCTGGATGATGGTGGGATGGGAAGGCTGGGGGAAGGTGGCGTATTTTGTGGAATATTGTTGGTTAAGTAGATGATACAACTGTTTTAACCTTAATGAGATAGAAGATTTAAGTAAAGTGGGAAGGGTAATTGAGATTTTTGGGAATGCTACTGGGATGAGAGTTAATAAGCAGAAATCACGGTTGCTGGAGGTAGGCGCTTGGGTAGGAGGGACCTTGGGGGAGGAGTTTGGTTGGATAACTGTAGATAGGCTAAAGATTTGTGGGATTTTGTATTTGGCAGATGCACAGGAGAGCAGGAGGGTTAATTCAGAAATGGTAATGGACAGAGCTTTGAGTAGGCTCAGGAGTCTAAGGATGTAAGGATGTAACCTTGCATCAAAGGGTTGTGGTGGTAAATACGCTGATTTATAGTAAGGTGTGGGGAGTGGCGGAAATTTACCCCATTACGAAGTCAGGATATTATGGAATTACAAAGAAGAGTCTTAAGGTATGTGTGGGGTTATGGGAGGGCGTGGTTGGGCAAAGATGTGGTAATGACTGCGGTAAGACAGGGAGGATTGGGATTGATGGCATTAGGGTCTAGGGTGAAGGCGCTATATGTGAAGCAGAGGTATATTCGGGCAGCGGGGGAAAGGGGTCTTCGGGTGGGGGAGGTGATGGGGGATATCCGCAAATGGTGGGGTGGCAGGGACTTAGTGGAGTGTGAAGATATGTTGCGGTTTATGTTAAAGGTACGCAATGTTAAAAAACTCAAGGTAAAACGGTTAGTGGGGTGGGTCGTCGTCAGAATCAATGCAAGGGATGGCAGTGTACCCCACATATGATTGGAGAGTGATATGGGTGGAATTTAGTAAATTAAGAATACCGGCAAGAGCGAGGGAATTAGTATATAGATTTCTTATGGGGACGTTAGCATCAAAAAGAGGTGCTAAGACGAATGGGTTTTGTGAGAGAGGCATCATGCGGTTTTTGGGGGGAAGTTGAAACGGCTTTCATGTAGTATTTTTTTTGTTCTGCTTTGGAGGTGGAAAGATTGTGGTTGAAGAGGTTTTCTTTTATTGGGGGGGGGGACAGATATCACCCCTTAGGCTTAAATGTTAGATATGGGAGGGGTCCCAAAGAGGTGGGAGGCTATCAGATACTAATAGTGATTCTTGTAGGGTTTTTCTTGGGGATGAGGGAGGTCGAGGGAAACATTAGGATAAAAGGTTGGCGGCGTGTTTTTATAGGACAGCATGTAGGAACAAACAATTATAGGGGGGAAGGTGGGTAATAGTTTTCCGGAGGGATATCGTGGACTTCTGTTGAACGTCTACCCGTTTGGTGACGGGGTGAGAGGCAAGGGGTTGGTCTCTTCATGGTGTGTCCTCTTGGAGTGATTGGAAGCCTGATGAGGAAGGTTTATTGGTTTGCAAGTGGTTGATGTGGGTAAAGTTTTTTTGCAGGGAGCCTCGGGGGCTCCGGGGTATGTAGACCTTATAATTTGTAAAATCACAGAGTCAAAAGTTGTGTGATTTTCTGTTTTTTCTTATGTTAAAGAAACCCTTTTATATAGAGTTTAAAATTTATATGTATATTGTGAAGTTATGTTTTATATATTCAATCTGGTTAGATTTAACCTTGTCATACTCTCTTTTTATCGTATTGAATGGGTACTTTATGCACTATGTACGAAAATATATAAGTATTTTTATGGGGTTTTTTATATACCCTTATTTTGTATGGAAGGTCCTATTATATATTTAGTGTTAATCGGTAACATAACTTTGTGTGTGTAGGTGTGTTTGTGGGAACCAATGTCTTAGGTATAGTTCTACATTGAATTAAAAAATTTTAGTTTATTTGCAGACAAGTCATTTAGCGCTTTATTTTATGTATGATCCCGTTTGTCTGTACGAAAAAAGTGCACATACACGTATGTGTGTATATGCATGCGTATATGTATACATAATATATATGATTGTAGGACTCATTCCTAACATGTTTGTATAATGACTCCGAACTGTTTGTTTGGAAGTCCGGTTGGTTGGGTTATTTTAGTAGAATTGTTATTTTCAATGTGTTACATGATTCTTTTTTTTGATGGAGGTCAGGTTATGTCCAATCATTAGGGAAATTAATGTATGTTATTTAGTAGAACGGGGACTGTACATACGGGGGGGGGGGGGGTAGAGTGTCAGCTGTGTCTGCACTGCAATAATGGATTATTGTAAAAAGGAGGGTTTGAGGTTGTGTATATGGTTGTGGGTTATGTATATGGTCGTGGGTTATGTATATGGTCGTGGGTTATGTATATGGTTGTGGGTTATGTATATGGTTGTGGGTTATGTATATGGTTGTGGGTTATGTATATGGTCGTGGGTTATGTATATGGTTGTAATATGGCCAAGATCTATGGTGTTCTTTAAATGTACCGGGATTGTGTACTAGAGGTTTTGTAATATCTAGTATGGTTTTTAATTTTATACTCTTATACATTATTGTATTTGTTCTATGTTTTAAATAAAAATAAAAAAAAAATCGTTTTTTTGGTGTTATTACAATTGGGAAAAGATTTTCTATCATTTCATAAGAAAAAATAATTTTTTTTTTTTAAATTTTGCGACACCAGGAGACACCTCATTGTTGGGAGTTGCAACAGTCAAAGGGTTAAACTAGAATTAGTTAGAGGTATGGGTTTAGAAATGATAAAAAATGAATATGGATATATTGACT